CACCATACATTACCTAAAAGTACCTCTAAAGTAATTGCACATATGTTCAAGCGCAATACACCAATGAGATTATAAATATTTCTATAAGAAATGACAACTTCATTCTAACATTAAAAAATATTTTGATACTCATACATTTCATTTTCAGTGTTATTTATTTAGAATATAGACGAACAATATAATCTATTTTTTTGATAAAACAAAACAAACAAAACAATGAGAAAATATTGAGAAGCATATCATTTGTTAAAATATTTGACAACAGAAGAATTAGAATTCCATTATAGGACAATACTTTTAGTCATCTGTAAAGTTTATCATATGGAGTCGTGATTAAAATATAAATCATGTATACAAATTTTTGGATTTTTTAATTATTTAAAATTGAATATGATCATTATTTATGAGAACCAATTTCTTACAGAGTCCATATATTTAAACGCTAGCAACAAAAAAGTAGTAATTTTAAAAGACTTTTTGTTTGTAAATATTGGTATTCATACTTTTCTAAGAAAATTAGCGTTTTCTTTTTCTCATTGCATTATTAATATATTATTTGTTTCTTATTCTATAGACAAATACTATTTTATTTGTTAAGTAATTAAAGCACATTTATACATACGGTATTTTTTGTATGTGTTTTATATAATGATTTTATCAAATTATCTTATTTATTAGGTTACAATTAATATAATCACATGAGATTATATGTAATGTAATATATTTGATAAAGTTGTACTTTTTATACGAATTAATAGATTAAAAAGTTTATAATTTTTTCCAATGTTTGATAAAATATTAAATAACTAAGTCATTTTCATAATCACTGAATACACTAGTACAACACCCGTGTATTACACGAATGTTTGCTAATTTTTTTCTTAAAATCTAAAATTAATGTGAAAAAAGTAATTGAAATTTTAAATACATTTTACAATATATTATAATATATTTAGTATGACATATTTTATTTGTGCGACTTACATTATTATAATAATTTTTTAACTTACAACATATAACTACATTAAAAATAAATATATCAATTGATAAAGAATTTATTTTTCTAATGAATTTTAATAAATATTATTATTTTTTATTATTATAAAGAATAATATAATTTATTTATTTCATATATATAATATGGATGTCAAATCGAAGATCATCAAAAGATGATTAATTTGATATATAATATATGTAAAACCGATAAGAAATACAAAAGTTGTCAACTTATAAAATACATTTACAATTCAATAGCTAATTGAAGGAAACAAATCAAAGTCAGGGATATATTAGTCACTTAGTGTCTCACTATGTAAAATTACAAATAATTAAAAAGTTATATTAGTACAGGTCATAATAAAATACCTAAGTTAGATAAATAATATTTATGGAATGTCCGAACCTAGATTATTAATTATTAATATATAAATATTATTTGTCCAAACCTATTATGAAGCATGATTATTCGCCAAGTAGGATTACGAAGCACCAGAAATAGCCACGTAGGCTCAGCGCATTCGGTAATTATATATAGGGAGGATATATGGTTCCACCATTATAGGGTTCCTTTTCCAGCAGTAATTGACTTCACATAGCTAATGTTATTTCATTTCTTTTCTCTGACCTAGTCTTTCCTTTTATCAATGACTTTACGTTGCTTCACTTCGTTTGTACCCTAAGGTGCATTTGTCATAGTTTCAGCATTACGACAAACTCGTGTCAAACATATATTGGATTTGGGCACTCTAGCCAAAACGTGGGAACAGTTAGAAGTTTACACCCATTTTTTTTACTTTTTTTTTAATATGAATTGTTTCAAATTTATGTATGAAAACATACCACAAGTTTATCTTATGTTATTTAATACTAAATAAAATTGATTTAACTTGAATATAAAATTCATTACATTATGTACTTTAACACCAATTTATTATTTGAAATTTGTACTGATATATATATATATATTACATATAAAAAGGTAACAAATAAAACAGGCTAGTTCGATGGGGAAGGGCGTGTAGATTTT